TTGTTGCTGAGGAAACCTCTATTTTTAAAATGGCCTTGATTTTTTTTCCAGGGGAGAATAGGAGACTATCTGACTTAATTTGTTCGTTTGTACAAGATCCAACACTTTTAGCATATTTTCCACCTTCATGAAGGAGGCGCACCTTACTTCCTCACGAGACTGGAAATGTCTTTGAGATGCATGGGATTAGATGTCTGTCAGGATACTTATTCCACATAACATTTTACGTGACTGTGCTTCCCATGTAAGCTACGTGACAATTCTATCATCTCTCTGAATCGGTCCATTGTGCACCACATATTTTATATTTTGGGTTTATTATTCTTATTCTTGTGTTCTACCAGGTCAGCAGCAACTTGTGACACTGTTCAGGGTTTGAGAGCTGTGACACCAATCTGGAATTTTGTGTTTACTGTATGAGTTGTTCAGAGCTGATGTGCAGAAAGGCACAGAGAAAGTCATTTGAAGTATACACCAGCAAGTGACCCTACAAAACCCAAGGATTGGACTACATATTCTTGAGTACCATCAATTTGCATCTTGTCTATTGATTATTTATATATATACAGACACAGTACACACCTGGTGCTCTCTTATCTGAAATGCTCTAGAATTACAGCACTTCCTTTCCCCCCAAGTCTAGAAATAATCATTTTGATGGAAGAACCAGCTTCGTAATAGTGAAATCTTGCTGACAGCATCAAAACCTGAATCAGAGGAGGGAGAATTCAAGTTGAGTTTCCCTAGCAAAACTAAAGCTTTCAGGTCTGGGTTCATTTCCAGCCCTGGCAGCTAATTGACGCATCTCATCAGTAGGCGTGGGTGTTGGGACGACCTCATGGAGTCTGAATTTTTATGAGCCTCGCAAAATGTTTTTGGGTAGAGTTTCCAAAGCAAGATGCGGTCTGTGAGCCATCTTCCCATGTAAGTTAAACCCATATTATTTAATTTTGAAAAGGAAAATGTCTAACTAAAGGGAAGCCTGTGGTATGTAGCTGGGACAAAAGAAAATCTTCCAGGACCTAGGCTGGCTCATGTGTGTGAAATTCATAAATGTTTATAGTGTACATATAGAAGGATATACCCCATGCATTTGCCTGTTCTCTCCAGCGACCCCCTTCCCTATAACACTAGCATTGAATATTGGCATCATGAGGTTAGCACAGAGAATTTTAAAAGAGAGAAAATATATAATAAGATGTCTGGACATATGATGTCTGACTGATCTTTCCGTGTTGAGCCTTATTCCTCTGATCCAGGGTCTGTCACCCATGATTTACCTCAGTGCTTTATAACCCCTTCCCCTTCCTGAATAAAGAGGAGACAGTGTATAAGGTAAACCAAGGTAAAGTGTTTTAGGGAATGATTTCAAAATCAGGAACTTCAGCCCTTGAGCTTCTGGGAAAGAAGAGCACGGCAGGTGATTCGGTGATTCAGGGATTCAGGTGAATAGATGGTATTTCAGTGATGGGGTGTCTCTTCCTCCTCATAGGCACCGAGGATACTCCTCAAAAGGAGCCCCATGCTCTTGCTGCCGTTGGGGAGGACTGCAGTGACTGACATCACTCCCAGCCTTACTCTATGCTTCTTGGCGGGAAGCCTGAGGCGAGTGGAACTCTCGCCAAGGCGGGAAAAACTGGTTAGAACCGGTTCTTCAACTGTCTCTGAATGTTCCAGAGAGACAGGGCAAGGCTCAAGATGGAGTCCAGGGCTCACAGGTCATTTTGTTTTACACAAAATCACTGTTTTAATATTAAAATCATTAACATATGATCATAAACATACAGTACAGTTATGTATTCCAAATTAATCACCAAGGGTATGTCTACACTACAGCGCTAATTCGAACTAGTTTTTTAGTCTGGATGCGTTAGTTCAAATTAACTTTGATAGGCACTACACTAGCGCTCCGCTAGTTCGAATTAAGGGGTGTGTAGCCCCTTAATTCGAACTAGTAAGTTCGAACTAGGCTTAGTCCTCGTACAATGAGGTTTACCTAGTTCGAACTAAGCGCTCCGCTAGTTCGAATTAAGGGGTGTGTAGCCCCTTAATTCGAACTAGTAAGTTCGAACTAGGCTTAGTCCTCGTACAATGAGGTTTACCTAGTTCGAACTAAGCGCTCCGCTAGTTCGAATTAAGGGGTGTGTAGCCCCTTAATTCGAACTAGTAAGTTCGAACTAGGCTTAGTCCTCGTACAATGAGGTTTACCTAGTTCGAACTAAGCGCTCCGCTAGTTCGAATTAAGGGGTGTGTAGCCCCTTAATTCGAACTAGTAAGTTCGAACTAGGCTTAGTCCTCGTACAATGAGGTTTACCTAGTTCGAACTAAGCGCTCCGCTAGTTCGAATTAAGGGGTGTGTAGCCCCTTAATTCGAACTAGTAAGTTCGAACTAGGCTTAGTCCTCGTACAATGAGGTTTACCTAGTTCGAACTAAGCGCTCCGCTAGTTCGAATTAAGGGGTGTGTAGCCCCTTAATTCGAACTAGTAAGTTCGAACTAGGCTTAGTCCTCGTACAATGAGGTTTACCTAGTTCGAACTAAGCGCTCCGCTAGTTCGAATTAAGGGGTGTGTAGCCCCTTAATTCGAACTAGTAAGTTCGAACTAGGCTTAGTCCTCGTACAATGAGGTTTACCTAGTTCGAACTAAGCGCTCCGCTAGTTCGAATTAAGGGGTGTGTAGCCCCTTAATTCGAACTAGTAAGTTCGAACTAGGCTTAGTCCTCGTACAATGAGGTTTACCTAGTTCGAACTAAGCGCTCCGCTAGTTCGAATTAAGGGGTGTGTAGCCCCTTAATTCGAACTAGTAAGTTCGAACTAGGCTTAGTCCTCGTACAATGAGGTTTACCTAGTTCGAACTAAGCGCTCCGCTAGTTCGAATTAAGGGGTGTGTAGCCCCTTAATTCGAACTAGTAAGTTCGAACTAGGCTTAGTCCTCGTACAATGAGGTTTACCTAGTTCGAACTAAGCGCTCCGCTAGTTCGAATTAAGGGGTGTGTAGCCCCTTAATTCGAACTAGTAAGTTCGAACTAGGCTTAGTCCTCGTACAATGAGGTTTACCTAGTTCGAACTAAGCGCTCCGCTAGTTCGAATTAAGGGGTGTGTAGCCCCTTAATTCGAACTAGTGGGAGGCTAGCCCCCCCCAGCTTTCCCTGGTGGCCCCTCTGGCCAACACCAGGGAAACTTGTATGCCTCCCTCCCGGCCCTGGAGGGAGCACGGGCTGGCTACGATGCCCGTGCCAGGGGCAAGCCTGCCAGCACCCAGCCTTGCGCACAAGAGCTCTTGTGCGCAAGGCTGGGTGCTGGCAGGCTTGCCCCTGGCACGGGCATCGTAGCCAGCCCGTGCTCCCTCCAGGGCCGGGAGGGAGGCATACAAGTTTCCCTGGTGTTGGCCAGAGTGGCCACCAGGGAAAGCTGGGGAGGGCTAGCCTCCCACTAGTTCGAATTAAGGGGCTACACACCCCTTAATTCGAACTAGTAAGTTCGAACTAGGCTTAGTCCTCGTACAATGAGGTTTACCTAGTTCGAACTAAGCGCTCCGCTAGTTCGAATTAAGTTCGAACTAGCGGAGCGCTAGTGTAGTGCCTATCAAAGTTAATTTGAACTAACGTCCGTTAGTTCGAATTAACTTTGTAGTGTAGACATACCCTAACAGTGGGGCTGTTTGTGGCCTGCTCTTAGCTCCTCGCACGCACAGAGCTCACACTCGGCACAGCCAAGAATGATGCTAAGCTGCCCTTTATGCCTCTTCCAGTCCTAGGGCTGGCTGAGGGCCAAACCCAGGGCTGCATCATGACTTTCGTGGGCCCTAGGCACTTTTGCCTTCGTGGGCCCCTCCCACCATAATAATATCAATATTAAAAATTATTTTTGATATAACTTTAAATACTTCAACATTTTATTTTTTTTCTGTCAGGCAAAATTTAATAGATTTTCGTGGGCCCTAAAAGTTTCATTTTTTTCTGATGTGTGAAAAAAATTAAAACATTTTCTTCAACCCTAAAAGTTCATGTTTTCTTCTGATTTTAAAAGAAATTAAAACATTTTTGTGGGCCCCTAAAAGTATCATGGGCCCTAGGCACTGTGCCTACTGTGCCTAATGGATAAGTCGGCTCTGGCCAAACCAGCCTCCATTGTAAGCAAGAACAGTACGGGGAGCACAGGGACTTGCTGGCTGAGCTCCTCGTATTCCGGCCCCACCCTCCTTATGCCCTGCCACATCGATTCCCCCTCACTGGCTCCAGCTAGCCCCAATACTAGTGATGAGGTGGCGAGGCTGGTCTGGTCTTCCAGGATTGTCCCACAAAGCTTTAAAATAATTGACCCCCCTCTGATGGAGAAAAGTGACCTTAGCGGGCTCCTAGTTCTGGCACCAGTGGTGTAGAGTGCTGAGTTAGTGCAGTGGTGTTTGGTGAGTGGGAAGCTGAGAGCCACAACTGAGAAACTTGAAGAATGAAATGCCTAATTCCCAAAGCACCAGGGAATCACAGTCTAATAGTTCCTGTGGTCTGCTGTGCAGATGCTCAGCTTTGTACGGTAGTTTAAAGGGTTCTGGAAAATGAATGGCAGGTATCATATGGCTCCAACTACTGCTGCAGACACTAATCAGTTGAGTCATTCTTCTAAGATTCTGAACAGTCTCCTTCACTTAGAGGTTATGATGAAAGAAAGAGCTCTAGAAAATCACTATTGTAAGTAAATCTCTCTGTACTCTTCCATGTCTCATGGACAAGGTTTATGGGACATTACTGAAAAGACTGCCCTATGTCAAGCAAGTGCTGTTCTGCCTCCAAGCCTGATTAGTGGCAATTACAGTGACTGTGTAAGGCTGCTTGAAAACTTTGCATCAAAACTGTTTTTCAACAGGACATTAGACATGGATTGGTGTCCCTAGCCTCCATCTGTGGGGAGCTGTGAATGGATGATAGCAGATGGACCACTTGATGATTGCCTGTTCTCTTCATTCTCTCTAGGGCACCTGGCATTGACCACTGTCGGCAGACAGGACACTGGGCTATATGGACCTTTGGTCTGACCCAGTATGGCCATTCTTGTGTTATTACAGATTTAGAGCCATGCTAAATCACATGGATGATTGAAACTTCTGTGGAATCTACATGTATGTGAAGATAAAAATTGGCCCTAGAAAGTCTATTCTCCCCTTTGGTGAGTATGAATAGACTCATTCAATGGACAAAGCTATTTTTCCATGGTTCTTCATATTCCCACTATTAAAACTATCTATTTACTTTACTTCCAGTCCTCACCCACGATTATCACATCACCATGTTAGTCATGGGAAAAAGGAACATCTTTCAGAAGTATTCCAAGATGTTCAGCAAAACCTCAAACCTCCCTTGGATCTTCCCAGTTCCAGTGAACCATGTTTCCACTGGGCAATTATTTTCATTCTGAATAATCATGTCATTCTAATTGGCTTAAAACAGAAAAAAAAACTGAATGCTAGAGCTGGCTTTTGGTCAACCGTAGATGTGCGGGGATAAGCCAAACATGACCAAAAGGGTTTGGTGAAGGATTGACCATTTGGGTTTGGTTTATTACTTATTAAAGCTCCTCTGAGCAGTTCCTGATACTTGGTGGGCAAGCCAGGCATTGGCTATCTAAACCTCTTTGTAAGTGAAAGGCAAATAGTATCTAACAGTGCAACTACGCTGCAACGCTTAACTCGAAATAAGCGACGCAAATTGAGCGAAGTCAATTGCATAGCTTATTTTGAAAAGGGAGCGTTTACACAGCACTTACTTGGAAATAGAGCACTCTTCCTCTGACTTCTCTTATTCCTCATACAGTGAGGGTTACAGGAGTTGAATTAAGAAGTCCTCCAGCTTGACAGTATTTTGACATTATTTCAAAATAACTGCCTGCTATGTAGATGCGGACTAAGTTATTTCAGAATAGCTCTAGTTATTTCAAAATAGTATTGCAGTGTAGACGTACCCCTTAGTCTCCAAGTAAAGACTTAATCTCTCTTAAGTCTTTACTTACGTTAAAGATGAAATTGGATATGGTGTCCCCGTATACTGGCTCTGAAAGGGTAGAAACCAGTGTCCGAGGTAATTATGGTGTATTAGCGCAGCTGTATTTCAAAGTAGGATATAAAAATATATATCTATTGTTAGTTATTTGTTTATTTATTATTTGTGTTGCATTAGCCCCTGGAGCCTCCAGTCATAGACTATGCCTCATTGTGCTAGGCACTGTCCAAGCACAGAACACAAAGTGGATCCTTATCCCATGGGACTTACAATCTAAGAGTTTGTCTACACTGAAAACTTACATTGGAACAGCTACATCCCTCTGGGGTGCAAAAAGTCCTATATCAAGAGATGAAACTATGCTGACCTATTTCCTCATGTAGTCAGGCCTGGGTTGATGGAAGACTTCTTCTGTCAACCTACCTACTGCCTCTTGGGAACATGGATTAACTACAATGATAGGAGAACCTTTCCTATTGCTGCAATGGATGTCCACACTGACATGCTATAATGGTGTTGCTACCAAGCTACAACTGTATCACTGTAGAGTTTTAGGTATAGACATAGGGTATGTCTACACTGCAGAGTTTTCGTCCACATTGCAATCATGTTCTTTTGAAAAAAAAATTGAAAGAGCAGAGGAGTTTTCTGACATTGGTAAACCTCTTTCTATGAGGAAGAAGCCTTTTTTCAAAAGAGCTCTTTTGGAAACAGGCGTGTGTGGAAGAGGGAGTTCTTTTGAAAGAACAGGAAAGAGGAAAAAGCACAGGTGCCTTGGTGGCCACTCCACTCATAGCAATCACAGCTTAAATGCGAGATAGAGTCCATTCTGTGTGGATGCTATCTTTTGAAAAAGCAGATGACTTTTTTGATGCGCTTTTGCTGTGTAGATGCTCTCTTTTGGAAGAAGTTTTTTCACAAGATCTCTTCTGGAAAAGCTTCTTCCGAAAGAAGCTTGCAGTCTAGCTATAGCCATAGCCAAATTGTGAGACAGCAGACTACAGATGGATACATGGAGATGCTGGAGTACAACTACAATGATTCATTATTAGTTATCTTCTGTGCAAAAGATTTCAGTTATCCAATTAGGGAGCTGAAACACCACCATATGATTTGCTATAAGTGACCAATCCTGGCACAAAGAATGAACAGCGAATAGTTTTGTGGTTAACTGAGCAAGTAACCAATCTGCTGGCAAGTGTTTATCCAAACTAATGGAAGAAAAGACTAGGCGGACAGAAATCAGGGAAATCTTCGTGAACAGGGAAATCTGACCTGCTTTAATCTTAAAACAAAGAAAACAATGTTTGTGGTCTGTTGAAAACTGTATTCAAATAAAGTGATCACTTCAGATTTTCGGGGGATTTCTTGGCCCTGCTTGCAGGCTAGGGAGGTCTGTAGGGAAGTGTGTGATCTGGGTCTTCACCAGTCAGTCTGTCTAGCGCCAATCTAGAGCAAGGTGGGTGACTGTACCTCTCCGCCTTAGGGAGCAGCCTGATTTGTCACTCCCTGTTCTGTCGTTCTCGTGTGTTATCATTCTGGATTCTAAGAAAGTAGTGTTTTATTGCAACCTTCCAGCAAGATTATTTTAGGTTTTTATCTAACTTCTCTGTTGCAAACAATAAAAATAAAATGTTACTTGATTTTTAAAAGAAAACATATTTCAAAATTGTCTTGGTTATGCATAAATGTCACCCTTATCTAACTTGTTCTCCTCAGACCCTCATGCAAAGCTCACTGAAGTCAATGGACTTTTTCCATTCACTTCATTTGGTGTTGGATCTGGTTTCATGTTGACAGTAATCTGTTTCAACTCAAAAGAAAATGAAATCCCCTCCCCCCCAGTTTTGAGGAAATGTTAAAGTCAAAGGAGTAATAAAGTGGAGTATTATCAAAGTTAATTGAGTTAGGTGTTCTGGAACACAACTGATCCTTATATTCAATTACAAAATTGTCAGCATCTAGGTGATTGTTTCATAGTTCTCTTGTGGAAATACTTGAATTCATTGAAGATAACAGAAAGCCAGCAAATTCATAAATAGAAAAGTTGACTGCAGCCATCTTTGAGGGAAAGAAGGCAAGGTCAGGAAGGAAGATGATCTTGTAGTTAAATAATTGGATCGGGACAAGGAGATTGGATTTAATTCCCAGCTTTGCTATTGGCTTCCTATGTGATATTTAGCTATTTCAACCCAAATCCACAAATGGATTTAGACACCTGACTCCAATTGTACTGTAATCTCTTGGGCTACGTCTACACTGGCGGCATCTTGCGCAAAAACTTACACTGAACGCGTGTTCTTGCGCAAGTAAATTTACAGTCTAGCATTGGAAGACAGGGCTTCTTCTGGAAGAGTTAGTCCTCTCCCCACAAGGAATAAGCCCTATTGCGCAAGAGCTCTTGTGCGCAAAAGCACATCTCTTGTGCAAAAGCACATGCCAATATAGATGTAGCTTTGGTGCTTCAGTTGCTCATCTCATATCCCCCAAAATGAGGATAATAATCCTTCCTTTGCCTGTTCTGTATATTTAGATCATAAACTCTTTGGAGCAAGAACTGTCTCTTACTATCTGTCTGTACAGCACCTAACACAATGTAACCTGATTTTGTCCGAATCTTCTAGGATTTAGAACAGTAACAATTCATCTACAGCAGTGGCTTTTATATTGATTTCAATGCAGCAGAAGTAGCTGGAATCATGCTCAAGCATATTGTTTAATCAGCTTTGTCATGGTTAACAAATTCCCAGACATTTGACCTTTGCTTAAAATGTTCCAGCAGGCTGTCCTTTCTGTGTAACCAGACACTGCTTCGATGTAGAGTTCTGAGCTGCTGAAAGAAGTAAGTAACACAAAGAACAATGCAATCTGTTCTGTCCTCTGTTTTCCTCCTCATCGTTCAAACTGGCATTGGCCGAAGAGAGATGTGATTGCGCATTGGTGTTCTCCTAAAATGGAAATATCCCAGTACGTTGCTGCTGGCACAGTATTATTCTCAGGGGCAAGATTAGGGAGGCTACTGTAGCCCTTCCAATATGCCCTTCACCACAGTAATACTTGGTTCTATTCCAGGATGTAATGCGTTTCAGTGTAGCATGACAAATAATCAGTGAACGTACACTCTATAAAAATCCCTTCAAGCTAACTGCAACTGACAAAAGGATACACTCCACCATACATAAAATATATCCCTCAATTGCAAACTGGGCTCCGTCATCCAATTCCAGTCTATCGCTCTGTTGAGACCCACTTTTTTTGGTATCATGCCAAGGTTTAACAAATATATTCCATGCATTTGAAGCACCACCTTGTTCAGATTTTCGCCCTGTGCCACGTCATTGCTCATTGCTGGAGGTGCTGTTGCTCTTTCCAACCCCGATTAAGTATGTAAAATATAAACAGAGACAATTTGCCCTGGGGGCCTGTTGCTAGCGAATGGAGAAATATTCCCTGGAGTATTCCTTGCAAATCATAGGGCACGTTTTCTGGTGCCATTCCATGCTGTCTGTGCTGCTCAGTGCAGGGGATGGGGAGGAGCAAGTAGTCAGAGTAGAACACATTCTGGCAGCCCCTCGCCGTCAGGTACTCCCATAAAACTGCAGCCAGTTGATACAGGTTAAATTCACCCCCAGGCTGCTCTAACCTGTGCCTGGGGCCGGGCAGTGCATCAAGGAATCATCAATAGACCCTGACTGTCCACACGGAGCTCCCTGCTTCAAGCCAGATGAAGCAAGCACGCGCTATTTGTTCTCTTTATTTTTTGTTATCCTTAACCAGGATAGTCACACAGCCTCTCTCCTAAGGGTTTGATGGGCTGGCACTGACCTGAGCCCCATTAACCAGCCGTTTTTCTGTCACCACCGGTTCCCGCCCTCTTGTGTTCCTTGGCTGCTTGTTGCACGATTCTGTTATTAAGCTGGAAAAGGCATTTGATGAGCAGTGAGGATGGCTTTTGGCAGATATCCTTGCTATTGGCACTATGTCTGTCACGTGACTGGCTATCAGTAATGTGGCGCTTTGGCTTGAAAGATGCCAGTTGGCTCCCCATGGAGTCCAGCTCATCTGAGCATTTGCATGGCGTAAGGTCTTGACTAACTCCCTCTTGGGATTAGTAGCTGCATGGGTCTCAAAGGCTCTCCTCTGTATTGTGTAAACTGAGATGTGGAATGCACAGTGACCTTACAACTACTGCCTCCCTGCTCTTGCATCAGCTCAGATTTCTGGACCTTACAAACCCCTCCACCATTTAGCCCCACCCAGGATATCCAATTCCTGTCACAACGTTAAATCTACCTTTATTCCACCAGTGCTGCCCTCCTCGATTGCCCACTTCCTCTCTTCTCTGACAAGCACTTTCTCCATGTTTCCCTCAGAAGCTCCCAGTCAAAATCCATAAAGCCAGACCATTGTCCTCATTCGAGGCCCTCCTCAAAACCCGCCTCTTCCTTAATACACACTATAAGGTGTAATCGGATTGCTACTACCGACCAGCTAAGCATTTCATGTCCTATTACATTCGTTATACCATCTCCAGTGTTTGTCTCATCTATTTGTTGTGTTTGTCTGGGTGTTTGTCTCATCTATTTGTTGTGTCTTGCCTTTTGCACTGTGAACACTTTTGTGCACGGATATCACATATTATATATTTATCTGGTGCCCAGGCCAAAGGGGCATAACCTGCGTATGACCTTTAGGCTATGTCTAGACTGCAAGCCTCTTTCGAAAGAGGCTTTTTCAAAAGTATCTTTCGAAAAAGCCTCTTTCGAAAAAGAGCGTCTAGACTGCAAGCAGTACTTTCGAAAAAGCAAGCCGCATTTTCGAAAGAAAGCAGTGAGTGAGTCTGGATGCTCTCTTTCTAAAAAGCCCTGTTTGCTTTCAAGAATGCCTTTTTTCGAAAGAGCACTTTTGAAAAAAGGCGTTCTTCCTCGTGAAATGAGGTTTACCGCCGTCGAAAGAAAAGCCGCGTTCTTTCGATTTAATTTCGAAAGAACGTGGCTGCAGTCTAGACGCAGGTGAAGTTTTTTCGAAAAAAGGCTACTTTTTTCGAAAAAACCCCTGAGTCTGGGCACAGCCTTAGGTATTACCCCAAAATAATGTAACAATCAAAAGTTGCATCTCTTAGATCCTATTCACATTGTATATAGAAAACTAAGATAAATACATATTTGTAATAGCCCAAGCAAACCTGTTTGAATAAAATTAAGGCCGGGTTGCCTTTTTTCCAAGCATCACTTATCACTTGAAAATTTGGCCCTTAGTGCACCAGTCAACTCAAATTTAAACTTGAGTCATCTTCACTGAATATTACATGCTGCATTTAACCTGAACTTTTGAAGGTGAATGATGTACTAAGTAACCACCATGTGAAATCAGTATATCTTGGGTGCGTCTACACTGCACCATAACTCGAACTAAGATATGCAGTTTGAGCTACAAAAATTGTGTATCTTATTTCTCATTTGGCGCTATGTACACAGCGCCACATTTCAAAATAAAGTGCTGTTCCGAAACATCCCTTACTCCTCGTAGCATGAGGTTTTCAGGGACGTCAGAATAGCAAGCCTGAAATAATGGGTTTGCTGTGAAGACACAGGATAGCTATTTTGGGATATATGTAGCCTTAGTGTCCCCTTATGTGTCAGGCTTTATTTCATTTCAGCTCTGAAAATAGTATTCCCAACCCTGCAAAGCCAGTATGTTTGTTTTGATCAAGAGTAAATAGAAAGATTTGAAACAGAAAAGTGTAGTGCATTTGCACCGCCCTTCAAACTGAGTTTTGCTAGATTGGAGCCTTTTTTTTTACAACAAAGAATTATGCAAGCATCTATTGTTTTTCCACAGCACAGCTTTGAGAGAGTTAATTGAAACCATATCCAGTCCTCAAGTGCCCTTTGAGACATTTGTGTCAAATTAAAACACCTTTTCCGCTTGGGCTTAATCTGTCACAACAAGATGAACTGTCTTATGCTTTTTTTCAGGCAACCAACCAATATTATGACATGGCTGGTCAAAGATTACATTAGAGGGGTCAATGCATTTGCCACAGGGCTGTACCAAACCATCATCTTCATCTGGACATCAGATTGATGCTTGAAATCCATGCAAACACAACTGCACATAAATAGGCATCTCTCGCATTCCGCTTTCACCAAGGATTTTAAGCACTAGCTGTTAGATTGTGCAGCTAAGATTATTTTAGTTTGTAAAGGCAATGAATCAATCCCCTCCCTGGTGAGTCAAGAGAATTGATTCATCATTGCCCCTGCACTTTGTGTGACACTGGTTAAAGCAGGTGTAAAACAGATACCACATCATAAAGGTAACACTTAAAACCCAATGTAATTGGTGTGTGTCTAGACTACAGAGTTTTGTCGACAAAAGTGGACTTTTGTCGACAAAACTATACCTGCGTCTACACTACCGCTGAGTTCTGTCGACATAACGTCGACAGAACTCAGCAGTTTTGTCGACGCTAGTAAACCTCATTTTATGAATCATAACGCCTTCTGTCGACAGAGTTTCTGTCGACAGAAGGTGTTATTGCATGTAAACTGTCCTTTGCGTCTACATTACCATGACGACAAAGCAGCTTGCTTTGTCGACAGAACTGAATGTCGACAAAACTTCTGTCGACAAAAGCCTGTAGTCTAGACGTACCCTAAATGACTACATGGAAAAGTCACAAGGTAATATACTCATGGGGGGGAATCCACCATGGGCCAGGAGCGAGGTGGAACGAGGTGTACTGGTAGTTCGAATTAGAGATCCTAATTCAAACTACCTACTCCGTGCTGCATGTAGCCACGAGCACAGAGTTCGGACTAAGGGGGATTTAAAAATGGTGGCATCCGGGAACATGCAAATGAAGCCCGGGATATTTAAATACATGTCCGTGGGGTATACAAGTTTATTTTTACTCACCTGCGCTGCAGTCTCCGTTGTCCCCGCCCAGAGGAGGATGGGTTTCTCCTGGCTGCGACTACATGGAGCCTGGGCGCGGGTGTGGCTCCCCTCCTACAGGCCAGCCAGCTCGCCTGCGCTGCTCTCTACATTCCCACCACTGGCAGCAGGGATGTGCAATTACGTTAAAGTAGAGTATATACATCTGTGGGTTATCTAAAACTTTTTTTACTCGTTCAGGAAAAACCACGGGTTATGCATGGGTGCGGGTTATATACGCTAATTTACGGTATATTACCATTGCCCCAACCACTCTTGTTCTTGGCTTGTATTAAGAGTTTCAGTTCTTTTGCTCCCCACAAACCAGAGGGGGATTTTTCCAAGCATTGCTTGAGCCTTTTTTTGTGGTTCTTGAAAGGGAAAATTAGAGCTCTGATACTCCAAAAACATGGATCTGTTGTATTTTGGCAACATGGAAAGCCAGGCCCAGCTGGCATGGAGGAAGGATGCATTAATGTGAGTCAGAGAGTGAGTCAAGGCAAGTACTGTTACATGCTTCCCACACGGGTTCAGTTGTTATGGGTGACATGTTCATTTGTCCCTGCATTCCTCCACGACACTTCTCCAGCTGCCATCGTAAAGGGAAACTCACAAAGCACCCAAATTAGACGACGTTCACATAAATGCAAACATGTGACAATTTTGACTTATTTGTTTTACGTTTTATTTGAAGACCAAGAATCACAAAGAGAAACGTTTGGTCCAAATGTAATGAATGGAGCCATTCATTTCCATCTGAACCTGATTAGCTGAGCCAGTTCATGGATATGGAGAATATTTTTATTTGTAAAACCTCTTTACTAGTGATTCAGGGTGATACCCTGCCCCACCCAGTTCCAGAAGCCCAAGGAGATGAATATTGGCACGTTTGTATTCTGCTGCAGAAATCCTGCTGACCACCATGTATGCTGTACCGGCATGTTCTCTGCCAGGCCTCTGGCCGAGAACACATTGTGCTCCTGCTTCGTGCTTGCTAGTGCCTACAGCATAGTGCTGATGCAAAGCCCGCTGAAAGAAGCAGGGAGCCTTCCCATGGCTTTCAAAGGGGTGATGTCTCAAAATTGTTTTCCGTCACGAACCTGCCTGTACATTGATTGTTATTAAATCCTCATGATGTTTAAGCCAATGTCATGACTTTCTGAGTCTTGACTAAGGACTTTTGAATGGTTGGGGTTGGCAATATTGGGATTACAACAGTGTTTCTCAAAGGGTAGCCCAAAATGTAGAGATTAAGGAGCCCTCGACACCCCGGTTGGGTGAATACAAGAATTGTCTCTCTAAACATTCCCAACCAGCACTGCACAAAACTCTACCAGAGAGGGAGGCCTAGCACAGAAGATACATCATGTAAGCAGAGTGGACCTTTAACAACACTTGGCAGCAATGCAGAGGTAAAGTGATTAGTCCATTTTCCTGATGGCAGACTCAGCTTCCAAATTGGGAAATGGAGATTACATGAACTACATTTCCAAGTCAAATCCTATGCTTTGGTCACCTTCTGCTTAATTTATGGCGACTTAATATCTGAAGCTTAATATTTGAAGCTTGCAGCCCAAGGAGCAGCCAACAAATGTTTTAGTTTTTTCTCTCAGAGGGGATCAACACAAGCCCATAAATCACTCATGTCCCTTCTCAGTCAATGGGACGTATCACCCTTGCTGTGATTTCTCCCATCAGCTGGCTTTGTTTTCTTGTCACAGAAAGTAAGGACTCCATGACTACATCTTTCTGCCTTCCCTGCCAATTGCATTATATAAGAGATTAAAGAGATGTAGAAAAATCATATGTAAAAAAGTTCCTCAGCTTTTGCATATAAGACTGAAAATGTGTTGTGTCAATATTAGCTGAGATCCAGAGAAAGATCTTATGCGATAGCCAAACTAAACAGTATTGAGACTGATTCAAACATGATTTAGAGCAGGGGTTCCCAACCTTTTTTGGTCCCCATACGCCCTATTCAATATGAAAGGAAATAAATTCTAGACTCTAGAATCCGCAACTTTTTTCACTAACACTACTACTTTTGGAATATTTCAATTAGGATAATCTAGTTATTTACCAAATATTCCCCATACCCCCTTGACAAGCTTCTCGTACCCCCTGGGGGTACACGTATCCCAGGTTGGGAACTCCTGATTTAGAGTATAACTGCTATATTTAAGGTCATCCGTGAAATGGATGTTTTATGTAGGTAATATGGATTAATGTTTTATGTTTAAGGCACTCAAGATCAGGAATGCTTCTGAGTGAGTAGAAATCTAAACCCATGCCAGCCCCTAGTAAAGTGTATTCACTGCAACAATTAATTACATTGAAATTACTCCACTGGTACTAGCCTAGCTGTGACAAATGTAATCACACTGCACAACAACACTGGAGCTATACAGAGCAATTGGATTACTCACTGGCGCGTTGTAACTCAAACTGCTGCATCCTCACTGTACTATTTACGTGCAAATTATTTGGGGGCAAGTGCTGGCTTTCTTTTAGTCATTTGTACAGCACCTAGTACAATAGGGTCCTCCTGGTCCGTGGGTAATTCTAGATGTTATGATACAATTAGTAATAATTAAAACAATTGTTAATGTTAATAACAATACTACTAATACATGTATAGAAGTCCTAGAAGCACTTGGACTTCAACCCAAAGTGCCAATGGTCCATCTAACTTAGCTTAAAGCACCCCTTAAAGCTAGCACATAGCTAAAGCTAGAGATTTCTAGGAGCGGAGCTAAGGGTAACTCTTGAGTTATAGCTTGGGTAATGCTATTTTCACCATCCGAGTGAAGCATGCTGGGAATGTTGTGGGTGTCCCAAACAGCCAGTTTTGCTTGTGTTTCCCCACCCTCCGGTTCCTGATGGATTTCTGTGCGGACAAGCCTCCCATGTGCAGTGGTGCGGAACATCTGGTAGATTTGGCTAGCCGCAACTTCTCCTTGGGGCTGGATCAATCCTCCCATAAAATGAATACAGAATGTTATGAACTTAACCCACACACATCCCTTCTCCCACATTACAGTGCTGCCTTGCATGCCGGTTATCACGCACTGGCATCAACGGGCAGCCACTAGTCAGCGGTGATGTAAACCACCATGAGCTGCTGTAACTAGAACCAGACGGCTCCTTGGGGTTCCATATTTTCACTCCACAACTCCCTCTAAACCAGGCTCATTTAGACTGGATTGATCCTACGGTTAGTGGAGGCAGGCACCGGTGTGCACAGCCCAGCTCGACAGGCAAAGCCCCGCCTGAGGCCCTGAGATTGTGCTGCCGGCAGTCTGTCCCACGTGTGGCCAGCGCCCAGCGAGCCAGCCCGACCCTGGCGTGGCAGCAGTGAGCCTGTTCCGTTCTCAGTGCTTTTGAGTGAAGCTGGGGCTAGAGAGGGAACCAGCGAGACAGAGGGAGCAGAGAGGAGGGAGACAGTCACCGCCACCATCGGTATCACCCCGGGATCTAAGCCCCCCTTTTCTTCCACTGCCCACTCACAACCCCCGCCCGACCCTCTGCCAGAGTCCCCAGATCCCCCACTTGCACCGTTCCTGTCCCTGCTTAAACCCATCCAACTCCCTGCTACCCCATTCCCAAAGGGGGAAAAGCTCCCGCTCCCTCCCAGCCCCTGCAATAAATAAAAGCCTCACCCCCCAAAAAACAATTCCAAACCCCAACCCCCCGCCTGCCAGTCCCCTCCCTAAATAAACACCTCCATGAAACACTGCTCTGCCAAAACCCTCCCCACACACCCATGCTTCAAAGCCCCCACATCCACCCCCACCCCACTTCTTAAAACCTTCCCTGTGCCCAGTCCCGCCAACCACTTCCCTCCGCGGGGGGGAGACAAAGGGCAGGGAGCCACTGTGGGGAGGGAAGGGCAGAGCTCTGGCAGTATAAAAGTTAGCAGTAAATGAGTAAATATACTCATCATTGCCCAAAATCACAGGCTATAGGGGCAGGGGGGCCTTCCAGGCCTGAGCCACCACTTCTAGGCAGGAGGGGTCTCTCTGGCTCATTCGGCCGCTGCCTAGAGTGGCAGATTTTGCCTGTATTGGCAGGCACATCCAGTCCTGATCTGTGAGGCACCAGATCACAATGCCACACACTCAGATGTGGCCTGGCCATTCCTCCACCAGCATGAAGGGAGATTTGGGCCAGTCTTGAGAAAGCAGTGCTGTGATTTGGCCTGGCTTTTTCTTGGCTTCACTCTCTCCCCCACCACACTTCTTCTGTTACATGGCCTGTTTCCCCTGCCCCCCCCCCCACACACACACTTCTACTGCCAAATCATATTGTAAGGAGCAAATCTCTCCCCCTTTGCCTCTTTAAATATCATATCACAGCCCCTGCCCCCAATATTTTGCTTGGCTGGTTTTTGTTGTTTTCCCAATGTGGATTTGTGCACAAACTGAAACAACTTCACCCACTACCAGGGC